TAATAAGTACGCGCAACGACAAGCCGCGGGCGGTCAGTCCTTAAGTCCGTAATATTCACGTTCGAGCACGACGTTCGTGCCGTGAAAGTTATTCTGTCTTTAATAAATAAGGTGAAGGTGTGAAACAAAATAAAGTCTAATAAAGTGTAGTAAAGTGAAATAAAGAAATTATATTGTCGTGAAAGTTTACATCAAGTGTCGGAGTTGTTTTATCATAAATCGAAGTCCCGTTCCCCCGCGGAGTCGGATCCTCGTATTGTGCCCCTCAATCACCCGGGCACAACAATCATCATAAGGATATGGATTACGTATATGGCGTATATTTCGATGAGGAAGGTACGATGCTTGGTAGCAAACGTTTCGATGTCAATATTGATGACTCAATGATCATAGGTGGCGTAAGGTTCAAAAGTACGCCAGGATTATATGAACTAGTTTGTAACGGTGCACCCGAAAATGCACCATTCCTCGACAAACGCCAGTCGGGAAGCCGGTTGACTGTCAGTCACCGGGAGGCGCAACTCCGGTTGTGCTCAAGGGCGCGGTGCGCCCCTTTATAATTTCAAATAGCAAGCAAGCGCCCGCACGCGAAAACCCCGACCACCGCCAGGGACGACCGAAGCGAGCGCGCACCCGGCATCACGCGTACGCCGGAACGGGCACACGTGCACCCGGCGCCGCGCGGACTTTGGCAAGCGCGCGTGCTTAGACCTTCCGCCACAGAATAGCGCTCGAGAGGGGGAGTTAAAACAAAGCCCGGGCTAATAAAAAAGAAAGCCACGGGGTAGCGCTCGCCCCCGGGGAACAGGTATAAAAGGGGCTCGAGCCGACGTACGAGAGAGAGACCTGGCCAAGCAACCGAGCTGACCACAGCACATCCGACGTTCGCAATCCGACTCCAATACCACGCTTTACGACACCAGGAGGTAGGAAGCGTTCTACCTCCGTCGGCCGCTGCCGCCTGTCGAACAAGCCGTCCGCTCCTTCGGGCGAAAGCGGTGAGACGCTCCTCACCACGACCAGCCGCAGCTGGCCACGCTCATATCCCTCCGACGGAACGCCTGAACGCCGGGGACAAGTCGCTGCTTGCTCCCGCCGACCGCCGTCGGCACAGGCGCTACGTATATAACCATCCGCGCGCCCGCTCCTCGTGGAGCGATTCAAACGCGGTTCCCGAACGCCACACGCCGCGACGGAATCTACGAAGGATAATCCACAGTACGCTGTAAACCCGGAGGTACGCCTACTCTCCTTATTGTAAATATAACTTGTAATAAATTTCGCCTATTAAGTAAAATTAGAACGGCCAGCAAATTATTCGGTCTCCGGACCTGTCAACCCACACGTCCTCCGACTAGAGCTAACCACGCGTCCGTTGGAAGTTAACAGGTCGTTTCAAGTTTTTAAAAGTGAACCAAACAAAACGATTTTAACCACGAACGATAAATTAATGTATAAGGATATATTACTATTGACGAACGCTCACAGACGCGATCACAGCGCTCATGGACCGATTATGGGTAATAACGGAACAAAGTACAGAGAGATTATTGGACCTCTTGTAAATGCCGATAAATTTCGTAAAAAATATAGAAAAAGAGGCGCTGGTATACCATCTGCCATGAGACTGACCAACAATAAAATAGATTATGTTCATTGGGATGATCCTAATGAACTTGTAAATCGTCTTCGATTGCTAGATGCTTCTTATCAAGCTGGAAATCATGCTCACGACAACGAGATTTTATCCATACTT